ATGATGATTAGTTAATTTAGGTAACAGTTATAATTCGAATCTTCGACTCTGACCGACTGAACTGTGACACTGACAAATGACATATGACAGTTGTCTGTGATTGACATTGGCAGCACAAAACACTAGTAACAGTGAGAACATCAACATCAACACATAAGACGGCTAGGCTTAAATTTCATTGGTTGATTCAGCGGCAGCAAAAAATTTTTGCAGCCTAAGCAGAAATTTTTTTTCCTGTCAAGGCAGTGAAGTGGGACTTTGTATTTATCAATTGAGGTATGCAATGACCCGTATTTCTGACGTTTGAAGAAAAAGCAATTTATGTACATGCAACCATCGTAGGTTAACTTTTTGGAGGTTATGTTGTTCATTTTGATAAAACTGAAGAAACGAGAGAATAATGTGGATCTACACCTTCTAAAAGAAAAAATAGAGCCAATAGTTTCGAATCAGTTATCAAAATGATGTGGGATAGTGTTATTATTAATTACTATTCCTTGGATAAATTCTTATCCCATGTCCACAGCGGGGGTTAAGAAATACCGTTGTTTATCCCTAATTTTATCTATTCCGTAGTTATCCTTGGTTTATCCCTGGTTGGTAAAAGCGGGCGTAAGAGGTTTCGTCGAATTTGTAAACTAATGAAGTTGAACCGATTTAATAATTGAGAGTGGTCATAACCTCGTTCAGGGTAAACTCCATCTAAGCGAAAACATAAAAATTTTAGGAATTTACGTTGTACTGATTCTATGTTTTTTTATATATATGTCGTATTGCGGATACCATATAATTGCCCCATATTCAAGACCTGACCTGACTAAAACATAGTATAAATTAATTAAAGTTTCTATGTTACAAAAATCACTGCAGTTTCTGTATAAAAAGCCATACATCTTATAAGCTTTTCTCGTTATATTATTAATGTGTTCTGAAAAACTAAATTTGGTATCAAAGATTATACCTAGATCTTTTGAACTCTCTTTACGTTTTAATACAGTTCCGTTGATATTATAGCCAAAGAATAAAGGTTCCACTTTTCTTGTATGTGAGACGACGAAGCATTTGTCTTTATTAAGTGACAACCGATTTTGACTGCACCAGTCAAACACGACATCGATGTTATATTGCAGTTTTAAGTAATCATCTGTAGTATTAATTTCTAAAAATAATTTGAGATCGTCAGCAAATAATAGTTTTTCACAAGTAATATTTTCAACAATATCGTTAATGAACAGCAGAAATAACAGCGGTCCTAGATTAGATCCTTGTGGTACTCCAGACGTAGGTATAATGGTTTTTGAAAAAAAGTTTTGATATCTAACTACTTGCTCCCGATCAGTGAGATAGGAGCGAAACAGTTTACACAGGGATTCAGAAAAACCAAACCTGCGGAGCTTATCTAGTAATACAAAGTGATCGATCTGATCAAAGGCCTTGCAAAAGTCAGTGTAAATTGTATCTACTTGACCTCTACTATCGATAGAATCAGAAACGTATTGTGAAAAGCAAGCTAAATTAGTTATGGTAGACCTTTTCTCAACGAAACCATGCTGCTGCGGGGATACGTAACATTTTAAAGACGAAAAAAGCTGTTTGTATAGCAAAGTCTCAAATACTTTCGCAAAATTACTCAAAAGGCTAATCGGTCTATAGTTTGTAACGTTGGTTATATCACCTGATTTGAATATGGGACATACACATGCTTTTTTACATTGTTTAGGCATCTGATTTTATTTTAAGATAAAGTTGAATAATTTGCACAGAGGACTGGCCAAGACACCTGCACAATCCTTTAGTAAAAAACAAAAAACGCCATCCGGTCCTGTAGTAAAAGTGTCTTTACAATTCTTCAAGACAAGAAATACATCATTTTGAGACATATGGCTTGCAGAGACAAATAGCTGCGGTGCAACCTCAAGAGAATTATTAAAATTGTACTGTGAGTCATGTTTTATATATACACTGCCAAAATATTGACCGAATGCGTCCACAATGGCCTTAGGAGAAGACAATTCGCAGTCATTGAAATTCATCACACCTGGTATTCGAGTACACTTTTTTTTATTTTGAATAAATGTCCAGAACGATTTCGGTTCACTTGAAATATTATTCTCTAATTTCTGAATATATTTTTTGTAAGACAGGCTAATAAGTTTTTTACACCGTAGACGACGAAACTTGAACAAGTTAAAGTAGTAATCCGTTCTATGCTTCTTATACAATTTGAGAACTTTTGTTTTGTTGCGTATGCTATTTATAGTTTCATTATCAAACCAGGGCGGATATTTATTACGGGAATAGTTTTTCGGCTTATATTTCGGTACTGCAATGTCAAAAATCTGATTTAGTTTTTCGTAAAAGAGTGTACAAGCTTGGTCCACGTCTAAATTACCTTCTAGAAAATTCCAATTTGTTGACAAGAGCGTTTCGTATAGTAATAGAAAATTTGCTCTTTTAAAGTTATAACATTCAAGTTCATCGTTTATAGGAAATTGACGTTGGTGTGAGCTTGAAGTCCTTACAGTTATACATAGGGGAGGATGGTGAGAATCTTCATCTACCAGAAGTAGGTCAGACGCCTCAACTTGACAATGAACATTTGAGAACACTAAGTCCAAGATGTGACTATGAGTATTGAGTATTTCGTTGTATTGATTGAAGTTACGAAATTCTTTGAAATTATTTAAAGTTGTAGTAAATTGATTTGAGACACCAGGAACATACGAGCCCTAACAACTAAATATTGGGACACAGATAATTTCTCAAAAAAATCCGGTAGATATTTTTGATATCATTCAATTCGTTTGGACTAAATGTGCAATTTTTGCTGACATTTAAATGTTGGGACACCCGACAAAATTTGCTAAGTATACCATCGAAATACAAACGTAGTAGCTGGTAAATGCTGCCATTGTTATAGGGATCGTAGCATTTCATGCTAGTGTTGGTTTTATTTAGAAAAATATAGTTAGCGGCGGGCTAGTTTTAGTAAAAGTTCTGAAAATAATAATTTCTCAGTACCTCAAGGGAAAATCGCTAAGAAAAAGTGAGGATTTGTTCGAAATAGCTTAGTCGTCGATGGTAAATGTCGTAAAATATTACGCAGACAGAGGTACCATCGGAATAAAAGGTAAAATTCCCGGTAGGCCATCACTTGTGAAGCCGCGTGATCAACGACAACTGATGAAAATTTATAAAAGTGGACGATGGACTACTTCAAGAGAAATTACTACTTGCTGGAATAGCGATAACCAACTAAATTTTTCAAGACAATATTGTTGCGAATGCATACACAAATCAGGCCTTGGTTTTTACATTGTAAATCTTAAATAAAGCTATCTTTGATGGACTTTATTATTTATTTATATTATTTTAGGCTAAAGTAAAACCACAATTAAAAACTGCCCACAAGAAAAATCGGTTAATATGACCAAAATAAAAATTGGAGAAAAGTAATATATAACGCTGAATCCAAATTTGATGTCTGGGTGAGATAATAGTCGAAAAAGAGTTATTGAAATAAAAAAGGAATTTTAATATGGATTATCTCAAACAAAGAGTCAAGTTTGCAAGCGGAAAAATGGTTTGGGGGTGCATGTCTATTAACGGAATTTAAAGACCAGTCAACAACGTTCATGGAAGGGAAATTACAAATTCAAACAAATATCAAGAGACTTTGTAAAAAAATATTAACAACTACTGAATCAGTCTATCCTGTTGATATTTATATTTTTCAACAGGATGATGCTTCAAGTTACACACCTACAACACTTATTACAAAGAATAATAATATAAATGTTTGCCCTGATCATCAAATAGCCCAGATCCTAATCCAGTAGAGACGGTATGGCGTGAAATAAAAAAATATTTAGGAAATCATCCATCACAAGCGATTGTCAATCTTCAACGGGAAATTTAGCAGTGTAGGATACGGTAACAACTCCTGTGTATTGTAGAAAATTAGTTGAAAGTATGATGGCAAGAATTCCTACAGTTATTAAGGCAAAAGGAGATATGACCAGTTACTGAATTTGCTGTGTCCCAATATTTATGTGTCACAAAATATTACGTTGTTTTAGAGTTTTATGTCACTGTTTGACTTAGAAATCAGTTTTTGTTGTGCTGTAAACATTAACAGTTTTGCAAAACGAATTAATTTTAAAATTTTAATTATCTAAAATAAATTACATTTTTGTTAAAAAGTTTGGTGATTTTTTTATAAAAATTTTTTGGTGTCCCAATATTTAGTTGTTAGGGCTCGTATTCATGGACATTAAAATCACCTATTATAATTATATCATTATTATTTAGAAAATCTAATGTACTTAACGTGTCAAAAAATAGTTCAAATTCTTGAATCGAAGTATGAGGAGGAATATAAATGGCAAGAATAATTATATTTGGTGTATGGTTTAGTTTTACACCTACTACGCCAATAGTAGGTACAACGTTGTAGACTGCAGATAGATCTAAAAGTGATGTTTTAAATGTGTTCCTAATGTTTACGACAACACCACCCCCTCGAGTTACATTAAGCGCTTGAATGTTGCGATCTTTTCTATATACTACAAAGTCATGTGGAAAATATTCACTACTCCCTATATCGTTGGTGAACCAGGTTTCTGAAAGGATTATGATGTCGTAGTTGTCGAGATTACAAATATTACTATAGAATTCAGTAGCCTTAGATCTTAACCCCCTGACATTTTGATAAAAACAACGCAACATAGCACTGTGACTGGGTGAGGCGGTTAGTTTAAAGATAGTAGGAGTTCCGTTAACGTATCGTATTTTCAGTTTGTCCTCTCCGTTAGCGATTCGAGCATTAAGTTGTTGCTTAACTAGTTTGTAAGATTCTACTTGTTTGGGAGAAGAAGAAAGAAAATGAAACAAAATTTTAAAAATAACTCTTCCTGTTAATAATAAATTAATAATAATTCATGACAAATTGACTAATACCTATACCAAGCATACTTTTCAAAGTAGACTAGACAACATTATTATATTTTAGGCATGTATTCAAATTCGTAATTTTCGGCAATTGCGTAACATTTCGTTTTCACTTCTTTATAAAGATTTTCTAGGTTATTTTCTTGGTCGACTTCCATGCCAGATAAGTCATTTTTCGCTTTTTTACAAAATACTTGAATTGGCTGGTATTCCTTCCCCACATTCTTTTTATTAAAGTTATACAAAAAACATGTCAAATAGTAATACAAGTGTGTTTTAGTTTTAACAAAATTGTTGAACTTTTCGTCAATTTTTTGGTTTTCTGCTGCATCTACTAAAGAATTTTTAATTTCAAACTCACTCCTGTCACTTCTAGTGTAATTTACTTTCATTTCCCTTACGTTATTTGATAATGCTTCCTCAGCTTTAACTGTTAGTATCCCATTGAAATCAATGTTCAACGTAAATGTTACACGTCGTTGTACGGGAGGTGCTGGTGTTAAACCATCAATGGATAATTTTCCTAAATAACGGTTTTTCCTTACATCTACACGCTCGCCTTCATATATACCAACAGTACTTGATGTAGCACTTTCTTCACTGTTTACATACGAATATGATCCTTTAGCTGGTATCTTTGTGTTTCGACGAATTACAAAATTCATTTTACTTCCGTAACTATCAAAACCTAACGAAAGAGGAATAACGTCGACCATTTTCAGTTGTTCAATTTTCTGTTTTTTACTACTTGATAACATAGCACCTTGCAATGCTGCACCTTCAGCTACACACTCGTCAGGATTTGTAGACTTGTTTAATTGTTTATTATCAAAGTAATTTGAAATCATTTCTTGTATTTTGGGTATTCGTGTAGAACCACCACACAAGATTACCTCTTGAATTGACTGTTTGGAAATCTTTGAATCAATTAAGCAGTTATGAAGTATATCAATAGTTTTTTTGAATAACTTGCTGGCCTTTTCTTCAAAAAGGGTCCTCGTTAAAGTAATAATGATTTTGGGATGTTTGGCTACCAGTCCATATATAGTAATTACTGCTTCATTAGCAGATGACAGTTCTTTCTTCGCTTCTTCGCACATATTACGCAATCTTCGTTTATCATCTGGAGCCATTTGCGCATCGTAATGATAATCTTTGCGTAACACTTCGTAAACATAGTCTAAAATGCAATTATCCAAATCGTGACCACCTAGTTGTGTGTCTCCACCCACGCATAGTACTTCCACGTTGTCAGTTTTTTTTTGAAGAATTGCAACGTCGAAAGTACCGCCCCCTAAATCATAAACTAAAGAAATATGGTTTTCTGTTATATCATTATCGAAATAGTAAGCTAAAGCTGCTGCTGATGGTTCATTTAGAAGTTTGAGCACAGTGAACTCGGCATCTTTAGCTGCTGCTAAAGTGACTTTTCGTTGAGTGACGTTGAAGTAAGCCGGAACGGTTATGACAGCTTTGTTTACGGTTTGATTCAGTTTTGCTTCAGCATATTTTTTTAATTCTTGGAGGATAATTGTACACAATTCTTGTGGTGTTTTCTTGACTATGATATTATTCTGCTTAAAAGTTATCACTGGGCGATTAGAGACGTCTGATATTAAAAAGGGAAAATAGTCCAGAGTTTTTTTAATGTATGTGTCATCAAATTTTCTACCTAATAGCCGTTTTACTTCTGCAATTGTCAAACGTATTTACGATTATTAACAATTATTCTAATTTGATATTTTTGCTTACCGTAAATTCCATTTTCTGGTTTGTGAACTGACATCGTCTTTGCATGTTCACCAATAACAATACCACCTTGCGGTTGAAAGTAGATGAAAGATGGTGTAACTCTTCCTCCTCTTTCATTGTCTAAGATTCGTATTCTGCCTTTCGTATAAACAGAAATACATGAAGTTGTAGTACCTAGATCAATGCCAATCACTATATCGTCCATTCTAGAAGTTGAAAACTCGTTATTTTTCTACTCCTATATTTTAATATGTAGAAGAGTAATATTGCAAGGAATGTTTGTGATAGTACAGAATAATTACTACTGATAATAATTTATGTAGGAGTGTGATATAGTTTATTTGTACAAATAGATTAGATAAATTGATTCCTTACAAATTTATAATAAGTAAATGCAGGCCTCATTCTTCTGGAATCACTAATGGTATGTATTCGAAAACAAGACTAAAAGAAATAAACAAAACTTATACTCAAAAGGTAAATTGAACATACCCGTTTCCTACTAAACTCTTTTAATTATTTGAAAAAACATAAACATGAAATTTTCAGCATTTAGTTAATTGACACATATAAATTTACAAAAAGAAGCATAACATTTGCATTAAAATGTATTTGTTTTTTCCAGACATTACCTTTTGTAAACATTCTAAATATATAGTACATTTTTCCATTTTTTCAAAGATATAGAACTTGATATGTTATCTGTTTTATAAAATACCTTAAAATTTTATTAAGTGACGGCATCAAAATGTCCCCGGTTCATTTCAATAATAGACATATAGTTCACCTACTTGCACAACAAATAAGTAAACTGCTGATACTTTATTGCTGTTGATTTTTCCCCAGATGAGATCACCTGTTTTTCCAAATGGGATGGGGTATGTTTTTTAAGTTGTTCTAATAGTAGGCATGTTTTTTCGTTTTCTTATTGTAGCTCTGACACTTTTAGCTCCAGTTTTAGGTTGGAAAACATTTTCTCATTTTAGTGTAAATATGTTTAACTCAGATAATTGAAATAAAATTAATAAATACTCGTAGTTACAATATTATTAAGAATATTCACAACTTACCTTCTAGTCGACATCTTCCCGTCAACATAAGGAACACCATTTTCGAGCCTTTGAAAATTTAGGTTAGCTAGGAATGCTTCAAAATTTATTTATTTAAAAAAAAATATTTAAAGTTATTATATAGAAAATCCCATGTCTTTGTATTACAAACAAAAAACACAAATTCTTCAAGAAATTATAAAATCAAATTTTGCGAATTTTATTCTTTTATGAGCACCCCAATAAATTAAAATAAAGATATGTGTAAGGTAAACAAGCGTAAAGTATTATATTTCTAGTGAATTTTCCCATACCAAAATTTTGTGATGACGTCATCAATATTTAGCAAGGACGCATATATCGATTTGAACAGATGTAGTGCAACACTGTTAATAACAGAACTGCGTAATCAAATTTTGGAGAAAATGGGGTGAGTCGTCTTTGATTTGATCAATATAATAAATTTCTTCTTTCATCAATTTTTTTGAGTTACCGTGTATACCTAAGTAACTCTAAAAAATACGAATGATTGGTAAATTACAAGGATGCCTTCATAATATTTTGCATACTTTAGATAGGATGTATTCGGCAAAATTCTGAGATGACGTCATCACCTTTTTGTGAGGGGATGAACGGAAAATTTTGATTAACGATTTACCATAACTACAACAACCTTAAAACGTTTGCAAGGTTTCAGAGCATTCGGTTTTGCAGTCTCAAAGTCTCATTGCAAAATATTATATGAAATTTCAAAGTACAATACATATAAAATTTGACAACAGTCGGTCTAGTAGTATTGGAGATTATCTGTCAAATAAAAATCAACACAGACGACGGAGAGACACGCAGAGGAATACGGGTCATGAAACGTCGAGAAATGATAATGATAAGTAGCCAGTTGTCCCACAGACTAGATTACAATTCTTCCTTAGCTTACGTTCAGTACTTTTATTACAATAAAATATTTGCTATAAAATTAGCATTTCCTTGGCTGGCGTATATCTGCTGTTCAAACAAAATCTTAGTCCTGTTGAAACAAAATAAGCAATACTATCTGTTGGTTTATTCCTAATATTCACTAAATTCATAAAAACATAAGAAAATATCGCAAAAAGAAAATTAAACCAACTTTTACAAGTATCTGTTCTCTTTAATACTAAATTAAAATAAACGTATTTATGACAAAATTAATAATACGTTAACAAAGCATTTCTTCTTTCTTAGATTAGGCGACATAATTGTTTTTTAGGCATGTATTCAAACTTATAATTTTCGGCAATTAAATAACATTTCGCTTCTACTTCTTCATGAAGATTTTTTACACTTTCTTCTTGCTCAACTTCCATATTAATTAAGTCCTTTTTTGTTTGTTCGCAAAATTTTTGAATTGATTGATAATCCAAGTTCATTTTATCAAGGTTATACAAGAAACGTGTTAAATACCGAATTAAATATTGTTTAGTTCTAACAAAATTTGTGAACTTTATGTCTGCCTCTTTGTTTTCTGCTGCATCCAGTAATGAGTTTTGAATTTCTAGTTCACTCTTGTCACCTCTAGTGTAATTCACCTTCATTTCTTTAACGCTATTAGATAATCTTTCTTTCGCTTTAGCTGTTAGTATTCCATTGGAATCAATATTCAGGCTAAAAGTTACACGTCGTTGTCCAGGTGGTGCCGCTGTTAAGCCATCAATAGATAATTTTCCTAAGTAACGATTTTTCCTTACATCTGGACGCTCTCCTTCATATATTCCAACAGAAAACGAGGTTTCGTCTTCTTCTTTGTTTACAAATACGTGAAATCCTTTAGTCGGTACCTTAGTATTTCTACGAATTATTACAACCATTTCACTTCCGAGCCTACCAAAACCTAACGAAAGAGGAACAACGTCGACCATTTCCAGTTGTTCAATATTCTGTTTTTTACTAGTTGATAGCATAGCAGCTTGCAAAGCTGCACCTTCAGCTACACACTCGTCAGGATTTACAAACATATTTAAATCTTTACCTCCGAAATACTCTGAAATCATTTCTTGTATTTTGGGTATTCGGGTCGAGCCACCACACAAGATTACCTCCTGAATCAATTGCTTGGAAATTTTTGAATCGATTAAACAGTTATGAAGGATGTCGATAGTTTTTTTGAATAACTTGCTTGCTTTCTCTTCAAAGAGGGTCCTCGTTAGTGTAATAATAATTCTGCGATGTTTAACCACCATTCCGTTTATTGTTATCACTGCTTCATTAACCAATGACAATTTTTTCTTGGCTTCTTCGCACTTAATACGCAATCTTCTTTTATCATCTGGATCCACTTTCGCATCGTAATCATAATCCTTGCGTAAAATCTCGAAAATATAATCTAAAATGCAGTTATCCAAATCTTGACCCCCTAGTTGTGTGTCTCCACCCACGCATAGTACTGCTACGTTATCAGTTTTTTTTTGAAGAATCGCAACGTCAAAAGTTCCACCCCCTAAATCATAAACTAAAGAAATATGGTTTTCGGCAATGTCGTTATCGAAGTAGTAAGCCAAAGCCGCTGCTGTTGGTTCATTTAGAAGCTTGAGCACAGTGAACCCGGCATCTTTAGCTGCTGCTAAAGTGACTTCTCGTTGTGTAACGTTGAACGAAGCCGGAACAGTTATCACTACTTTGTTTACGTTGTGATTCAGCTTTGCTTCAGCATACTTTTTTAATTCCTGGAGGATAAGTGAACACAATTCTTGTGGTGTTTTTTCGATTTTTGTATTATTCTGCTCGAAAGAAATCACTAGGTGGTTAGAGACGCCTGAAGATATTACAAATGGAAAATAGTTCCGAAATTTTTTATTGTATGTGTCGTCAAACTTTCTACCTATAAGCCGTTTCACTTCTACAAATATCACAGTGTGTTAATAAGTATTAAGAATTATTCTAATTTCAAATTAACTTACCGAAAATTCCGTTTTTTGGTTTATTGACTGACATAGATTTTGCCTGTACCCCAAAAGCGACACCACCTTGTGGCTGAAAGTAGATGAAAGACGGTGTAACTCTTTCTCCTCTTTCGTTCTCTAAGATTCGTAGTCTGCCTTTTGTATAAACAGAAACACACGAATTTGTAGTACCCAGATCTATGCCAATCACTATGTCATCCATTCAAAAAGTTCAAATTTTTGTCTATATTTTGATAAACAGAAAAGTAAGGAACGTAATTTTGCGTCAATAGAGAAATGCTGCCACTACACTGGTTATATTTTTTTCCTTATGAAAATAAACGTAAAGCGTGATATCTTAAAAAACGTTTATTGATAAGCCTTATACGGCACAAATATATTAGATTAGTTGATTACTTAAACACTCATAGATTTATCACCGTATGTAATTAGTGCTAAATTCTGGTGTTATATTGTACGTACTTTGTGTTTTAGGAAATATCAAGGTTCTAAAAAGGCACTGGTAGGCGGTAGAGTTGAATTTATTTATATATTATTATCTACCAATGTCCAATATCTCTTTTGTTTTAATTTTTACTTCCCGAGAGTAAGCGAACTTGACCCTTTCCTTTTTTTTCTTGCACTGATAATGCGCTGTGACAACTTTTCTTTTGTGCTGTGACTATTATTATCCATGTTGATGGTGTCATCATAAATTTTTTATTGGTCAAATATAAAAACGAGTCACTTACTCCATTTTCTCGAGAATGTGAAAATACGCACATCTTTATAAAATGAGAATTATAATGTTCATAACATTTTGTTCGATTGTGGTTTAATTAATAATTTTAGTCCCCTATTGTCTTGAAGACAAACTCATTCAAATCAAATTAATTTCTACGTGACATTCTTTCGATGTATAAACATAAATAAACCCTTCAGATTCCTATTACCTAGTGCTGAAGGATATTTTATCTCGTTAGTTATGTCTATATGTACTTTACATATAATTATATTTTCCGTACGGCGCAGGGGTTACGGGGGTGTCATTTATGCCGGTGGTATTTACTTTACAGAGGTTATCACAAAACGAAAATCGTAAAATCAAATTTTATAAAAAAAATTTAATTTGTTTTAAAGAGTTGGATTTGTCGGATTATACTTAAAATAGTATTCGACCAATTTTTTATTGATCAAATTAAGGACGTCATTTTCTAGAAAATGGATAAAGAGGATACCCACGCTTTATTTAATTATGATCAAATAAGAATATGTAATAATCATATTCGAAATATTTTCTTCCATTGTGAGCTAATTAATCATTTTAGTCCTCTGTTTTGAGGAGACAACTCAATCAAATCAAACAAATTTCTACGTGACATTCTTTCATTGTATAAACATAAACAATCGAACTTAAGCATCTACACTGATAATAATACACTCTTTTCCGTTATTATTTGGCTAATTGTTTTGCATCTATGATCTGTATGTTCGCCTTCGTATTATACAGGGTTAGTATAAAGTCCCGGAACGGTCGAATAACTTTGTCATTTGAAAAGTTTTTTTTCTGAAATTTGTTCTGGATATATACTTGATTACAACAGTTTTACTTTTTTTGATTGCTCTTGTTTTGACAGACAGGGCCGCCTACTTTTTTTTTTAAGGGTACACCCAGGTTTTTTTGACATTTTCTGAAGTAGAATAAAAAACTACTTTCAGAAATTATCAAAATATTTATTTCTACTGATATAAAAAATAGAAAAGAAATCACAAAAAACACTTGTATTACAAAACTACATAATTCATTCAGACATTTTGTTGATCGATTACATCACTGCCAAATTGTAAACGGAGAACACTTTGAACATTTATTGCAGTCCCACTCATAGTTTATTATTTATTAGTATTTTCAAAGATGACGTGATCACTCATTATTAATGAGCGGATTTATATGCACAAAATTTCATCGAAATATACAAAAATCTTAAAACCCTTTAGTCATAACAGTTTAAATCAGTGTTCCAATACACCTGTTTCTTTCTAATCTTTTTTAATTGTTTGAAAAAACATGAACGTGAAGTTTTCAGCAGTTAGTTCATTGATACAGATAAATTTACAAAAAGAGCACTACATTCGCATTAAAATGTCTTTGTTTCTTCCAGAAATTACCTTTTGTAAGCGTTCTAAAAACACAGTACATTTTCTACTTTTTCAACGACGTAGACCTTGATATGTCATCTGTTTCATAAAACGCCGTAAAATGTTATTAAATGACGGCATCACAATTTCCCCGGGTCTTCCCAATAATATATATTTCAGCCACTTGCAAAACAAATGAATACATTGTTCATACTCTATCGCTGCTGGTTTTTCCACAAATGACATCACCTGGTTTTTCAAATATGGTGGCAATCAATGTTTGTTAAGTTGTTGCAATGGAATGTTTTTTTTTTCTTATCATCAACGCATTACATGATATATTTCTTACCTTTGAATTTGAAAGACTAAGGAACCAGTATGGGCAAAGCTCTAACACTTTTAAGTCCACATTGTGCCTTGTTTAAATAAAGTTACGGGTTGCAGATACACATATAAAACACTGGTTTGGCACATATTAAATGTTTTAATGTGCTCGGAATACTAACTGATGTACAATAAGAAATATATTTAGAGCAGGCGGTGAAAATTCAATCGAAGAAAGTGTCACATCAAAAACTTGTTATTAATTTCAAGAATTTTTCTATTTCGCAATTCTTCTTCTAGCACGATCCTAGTATTTAAAAATTGCGTTAAAATTTCGACTTAGTATCTTGCAGCAGATATGTTTTCTGAAAACATCATTTAATTAATTTTATTGTTAAAACACTAAGAAACTTTTTACCATCAAAAGTACCAAAAAACCGAACCAATAATTCTGCGTTGGCTAATCGCCGCCCAAATAGCTACTCTCTGGGTATATGGGGTTGACTCCATGTAAAAATGAGGACTTTCTGAAGTCTACATTCTTCTGTTTTGTGAGGTTACATATTTCATGCCTATTTATATTGATTATCTCAACTATTCACGTATAACAATATATACTCTTAAGTAAATAATTACAGAAATATTCGACAAAATTTAACTACATTTTCGTCTTTGTATTATTGATTTTTAAGAAAAGTATTTGTTACGAAGTTAGTAATACTTAAACAAACACACTTTATAGGTTAGACAGTGTGGATATTACTCATATTTGGGCATGTAGTCAAAATTATGCCGCTCAGCAATTGGATCACATTTCATCTTCATTTCTTTATAAAGATCTTTTACCCGTTTTTCTTGGTCGACTTCCATGTAATCTAAGTTATATTTCGTTTCTTCGCAAAATATCTGAATTGACTGATATTCTTCACCCAAGTTCCGTTTATGAAGATTATACAAAAAACTTCTTAAATATTGATTTACATACTTTTTAATTTTAACAAAATTTTTGAATTTCTCATCGATTTTCTGATTTTCTGCTGCAGCGAGTAAAGAATTTTTAATTTCAAACTCACTCCGATCACCTCTGGTGTAATTCACTTTCACTTCCCTTACGTTATTAGACAATTCTTCCTCGGCTCTAGCTGTTAGTATCCCGTTATTATCGATGTTCAAAATAAAAGTTACATGTCGCTGTCCGGGTGGGGCAGGAGTTAGACCATCAATAAATAATATTCCTAAGTATCGATTTTTTCTTGTATCGGTGCGTTCGCCTTCATATATTCTAACAGTACTTGAAGTATCATCTTCATTTTTATTTACATACCGCCAAAATCCTTTAGCTGGTATTTTCGTGTTTCTGTGTATTGCAATTTGCATCGCATGACCAAAACTATCAAAACCTAACGATAGAGGAACTACGTCAACCATATGCAGTTGTTCAATGTTTTGTGTTTTACTAGTTGATAGCATAGCAGCTTGCAAAGCTGCACCTTCAGCTACACATTCGTCAGGATTCACAAACTTATTCAGTTGTTTACCTCCGAAATAATCTGAAAGCATTTCTTGTATTTTGGGGATGCGAGTAGAGCCACCACACAAAATTACTTCTTGAATCAACTCTCTGGAAATTTTTGCATCAGCTAAGCAGTTATGTAGGATGTCAATAGTTTTTTTGAATAGCTTGTCAGTTTTCTCTTCAAAAAGAGTCTTTGTTAACTTAATAATAATTCTCGGATGTTCAGCTACCATTCCATTTATAGTTATCACTGCTTCATTAGCCCATGACAATTCTTTCTTTGCTTCTTCGCACTTAATGCGTAATCTTCTTTTATCATCTGGATACATTGTCGCATCGTAATTATAATGTTTGCGTAATACCTCGAAAATATAATCTAATATGCAGTTGTCCAAATCGTGACCTCCTAGTTGAGTATCTCCACCAACACTTAGTACTTCCACGTTGTCAATTTTTTTTTGAAGAATCGCAACGTCAAAAGTTCCACCTCCGAAATCATAAACCAATGAAATATGGTTTTCGGTTATATTATTGTTGAAATAGTAAGCTAAAGCTGCTGCTGTTGGTTCATTTAGCAGCTTGAGCACAGTGAACCCAGCATCTTTAGCTCCTGCTAAAGTGACTTCTCGCTGTGTTACGTTGAAATAAGCCGGAACGGTTATCACGGCTTTGTTTACTGTCTGATTCAATTTTGCTTCTGCATATTTTTTTAATCTTTGGAGGATAATTGTACACAATTCTTGTGGTGTTTTCTCGATGGTTCTATTATTTTGTTCAAAAGAAATCACTGGGCGATTAGAGACGCCTGAAGATATTACAAAGGGAAAAAATTGCAGAGATATTTGAATATATGTGTCATCAAACTGTCTGCCTAAAAGCCGTTTCACTTCTACAAAGCAGTGTATTAATATTAAATATGAAGTATTATTATAAAATCTCAAAATTGCTTACCATAAATTCCGTTTTCAGGCTTCTGAACTGACATCGATTTTGCATGTTCCCCAACAAAAATACTACCTTGCGGCTGGAAGTAGATGAAAGATGGTGTAACTCTTCCTCCTCTTTCATTCTCTAAGATTCGTGTTCTCCCTTTTGTATAAACAGAAATACACGAATTTGTCGTACCCAGATCAATTCCAATTGCCAGGTCGTTCATCTTGGAAATTAAAAACGTTGCACTTTTTTTTCTTATTTAATCCATATATTATATAGTAGTATGGCATCTCAACAAATGTTTATTTGATAAGACTGTAGATAGCTTAAATAAATAAGATAAGCACTTAAAAAGTTAACAACACCACAAATCGTTAGCCTTTTAGTAAGTATAATTTTTCTATTAAACTTTTCATTTCTGATTCTATAAATCCACAATAAGGACCATCAAATTCGTTTAAGATACCTTCGTTTCTTTCAGAAATGGTGTCTTCTTTATTTCAAATGGAGTGAAAGAAAGGGATATCGGGTAATCATGATAATTTGTAATCGATTCATCTCTAGAAATGAATCTGTATATGTTCGCTGAAATGGCATTGTTAAATTCGGCCTTAAGTTACGTGACAGAAAAATTTTTGACAGAATTATTTTTAATTATACAGGGTGTCTCAGAAATAAGTACATTAATTTTAACCAGGAACAGAACTCCTGGAATGAAACAACTTTTTTATATTGCATTTTTTCGAAAACTTAAGTCGAATTTAGAATTTTCCCACCCATACATTCACGAGCCGTGTATGTTCACCTTGAATAATAACAACACTACAAGAAGGTACCCGAGCAACCGTTTTGACACTGAAGTTTGTGTGTCACAAATGTCTAATTTATAGACGAAATGTGTTGAAATGGCTTTGTTTTCAAATCTTGAATACACCGATATCGTTTTAACCTATGGTGAAACTCGACGAAACGGTTTTATTATTTGCATTACACTGCATGTCGGAATTTACAGACGTGTTCTTGTTGAAATAATGTTGATCGAAATAATCTCCATTAGGAAGACTCACTAAACAAGCTTAAGAACCAATTCTCTATCAAAGTGTATTAAAATTTAAAGGTTGTTAAAAATAAACAGCCAAATAGCCAATTAGATTTACGAATTTAAGTCATTACTGTGGAAATTTGCAATTTAACACCCTTTAAATTTAAGAAGTTGTAACAGAATTGCACCAATAGACTCATCTTTATCAACGCATTCATATTTTTGGAGCAATCTGTTTCCTGTTGCGGTCACTCCAGATGAAATATAAACAGGTGTGTTTTCCTAACATAATGCACGCAAGGCGAAGTGGTAAGGTATGGGTAATTAAAGTAATGGATTCAGAAAAGCAAGCTCTACAAAAATCTGAAAAAAAAATGTGTAGAGAATCATTAAAAAAAGTTGGATACAAATAAACAAAAAATTATAGTATGTCAAAATATATTTATACCATGTAATTTAGATTTTTATACTGTCACTGGTAGGTATTATTTATCTGTTATATGTATTTGTTTTAATGTATAGAGGTTATCATAAATAAATGTTCCGGAAACATATATTTTTTTAAAGTAACAAGATTTATTGCGCTGTACTTTGGGGAAAATCTTGTCGAAATAACCTTCGACAATTTTTTAGAATTGCTTATACCTACAGGCCGACTCAAAAAGAATAACGATTGAGTCATTTTATTTTATTGATTAAATAAGAAATGGTTCAATCTATTTTCCCAAAAATTTGGGAATATAATGCTGTTATTATTACTATTACACTGCACCTATCCAAATTGATATATCTCCTTGCAAAATGTTGATGTCGTCATCACAAAATTTTGTAAAGGAAAAACTCATTCGAAACATGCGCACAGTCCCCTTTTTTACATTTACTTTAACATTACATACATATCTTTATTTTAACTTATAACATAACAAGAATAAAATTCGCAAAATCAAATTTTATAATTTTTCGTAAAATCCGGACACGTTTCATTGTACTTCAGGGGCTAGGAAAGTTTCGTCGAAATAAACTTAAACAATTTTTTTTCTTTTCTTATCATGACAAGTTTTTCACATCGGAAATTAAAAACTGAGTTAACACCTTTAAATTCGCATTATGCATGATTTAATGATGTTTCTGCATGAAATCGCTACTATACTTACACACTGTATAGTACAGAGGATACTGTGTGAATAGTAAATTTTGAATATGGGATACGAAACACTTAACTGCCACCCATGTTGATTTATGATTTGTAATATAAGTACATTAATATATATCTCCACTAATACAAGCGACGAGTGGCTACCAAATGCGTGGGAAGAATTCAATAAATCGTCTATACAACGAAAATAATGCTTTCGATTTATATAGTTAACAAAAATGTGACACAGTACTCTTGACATCTCTCATAAGTTTATCACAAAACAAGGAACTTGATGAAAATGTAAAAAATGTAATATAACATGTTTTTGAAATACCAATACACTTTCATTATTTTTATTAACACTAACACAAATTAGTGTTAGAAAAAGATTTTACACAAATTTGCTCTGATTATGTTGCAATAAGTTATTTCGTAAATGCATAATGTCTAATATGTGTTACGTATTATCTTATTCTTATTATTATTAGGTATTTACCACAAAATTTGACGCATATTTTAAATTAATTTTCGGCTGAATTGTTACTTTTAAGTTCCGATATCTATCGAAAAAATTACTAATACTTACTTAAACAGAAACTTTTTGCAGGAATATTATTATATATCTAATTCAGGCACGTAGTCAAAGTGATGACGCTCAGCAATTGCATTACATTTTATTTTAGCTTCTACGTAGAGATCTTTCAGTCTATTTTTTTGATCGACTTCCATATCCCATAAGTCATTCATTATTTCTTGACAAAATAACTGAATCGACTGATATTTTTCACTCAAGTTCTTTTTATCAAGGTTATACAAAAAACTTTCCAAATACACATATACCTTTTCTTTAATTTTAATAAACTTTTCTAACTTTTCATCCATCTTCCGATTTTCTACGGCATCTAGTAACGAATTCTTAATTTCAAATTCACTCCTGTCACCTCTGGTGTAATTTACTTTCACTTCCTTAATGATATTAGATATTTTTTCTTCAGCTGTAGCTGTTAGTATTCCGTTGTTGTCAATATTAAGAGTAAAAGTTAACATTCGTTGTCTGGGAGGTGCCGGTGTTAAACCATCAACACATAAGTCTCCTAAATAACGATTTTTTCTTACATCGGTACGTTCTCCTTCGTATATTTCAAAGATAGCGGAGGTATGACCTGAATCTGTACACGACCGAGATGCTTTAGCCGGTATCTTCGTATTTCTACGTATTACAAAACCCATTGCACATCTGAAATAACGAAAACCTAGCGAAAGCGGAACAACATCAACCATTTCTAGTTGATAACATTGCAGCTTGTAACGCTGCACCTTCAGCTACGCATTCGTCAGGATTTACAAACTTATTTAATTGTTTACCTCCGAAATACTCTGAAATCATTTCTTGAATTTTGGGTATTCGGGTGGAACCACCACACAAAATTATCTCTTGAATCGATTGCTTAGAAATTTTTGAATTGACTAAACAGTTATCTAGGATGTCAACAGTTTTTTTAAATAACTTGCTGGCTTTCTCTTCAAAGCGGTCTCTCGTTAGTGTAATAATAATTCTGGGATGTTTAGGTATCATTCCGTTTATAGTTATCACCGCTTCAGTAGCCGATGACAGTTCCTTCTTTGCTTCTTCGCACTTAATACGCAGTCTTCTTTTATCATCTGCATCCGTTTTCGCTTTGTGACGGTAATCTTTGCGTAATACCTCTAAAATATAATCTAAAATGCAGTTATCCAAATCATGACCTCCTAGTTGAGTACCTCCACCAACGCACAGTACTTCTATGGTATCAAATTTTTTTTGAAGAACCGCAACGTCGTAAGTACCACCTCCTAAGTCATAAACTAAGGAAATATGATTTTCGGTAATATCATTTTCGAAGTAGTAAGCCAAAGCCGCTGCTGTTGGTTCATTTAGCAGCTTGAACACAGTGAACCCGGCATCTTTAGCTGCTGCCAAAGTGACTTCTCGTTGCGTAACGTTGAAGTAAGCGGGAACTGTTATCACAACTTTGTTTACTCTCCGATTCAATTTTTCTTCAGCATATTTTTTTAATCCTTGGAGAATAATTGTGCATAATTCTTGTGGTGTTTTCTCGATTTTTCTGTCATTCTGTTTAAATGAAATAATTGGGACATTAGAGACGCCTGAAGATATTACAAACGGAAAGTAGTCCAGAGTTTTTTGAATATATGTGTCATCAAATTTTCTACCTACTAACCGTTTCACTTCTAGAAATATCGCAAGCGATTAATAAGAATTATTTTAATTATAGATTTGCTTACCATAAACTCCGTTTTCTGGTTTATGAACTGATATCGTCTTTGCGTGTTCGCCAAAAACTATACCACCTTGCGGCTGAAAATAGATAAAAGATGCTGTAACTTTCCCTCCTCTTTCATTTTCCAAGATTCGTGTTCTGCCTTTTGTATAAACAGAAACACAAGAATTTGTCGTACCTAGATCAATTCCAATGACTAAATCGTCCATTGTGGAAAACTACAAGATTATATTAATTTTCTAATGTGACAATCAGAATAGTAATATTACAAGGTGCAAAATTTGTGACAAAACAAAAAACTCACTACTGGTTAGGGTTTTTTATTCTACATGACAATAAGATTATTTATTTGCTAAGCTCACAGATCGCTTCAATAGATAAGATAAAGTTAGAAACTTTCCCAGTTTATTACCACAAATATTTAGTCGGAAAATTCCACGAAAGATATAGTGCGTTTACGACTTTGACGTCATAACCTTTTTACAGCGGATCCTTGATAAAATTCAACAAATACTTACAAGTAATGGCGCACTACACAGAGAGTTGTACCGTGCTGAAATAAGTTTTACTTGTTACTCTTAGAATAGAGGAAGGAGGTACTATACCTTATGATGACGTACTTGTTAAAAGTGCTATTACTGGTATTACACTGCATCTATCCAAATTGATAGGGTGTCCTTGAAAAATGTAAATGAATTTATTACAAAATTTTGTAATTGAAAAACTCACTTGAAATAAACGCGTAGCACGCTTCTTTACCTTTACTTGAACATTATATACCTACATACCTTTATTTTAATTTATAAGGGTTATCATAAAACAATAAAATTCGCAAAATCAAATCTTATAATTTTTCGAGACAGCTGGATATAATGTTCTGTACTTTATGGACGAGGACGAGGGAAGTTCTATCGAAATAATCTCCGACAATTTTTTTTTATTAAAGTATTATTTTCTATTTCTTTTATATTTTCTAGATCGTGGCGTGCACGTAGAGTACAATTTTTAAATACACCGTTTAAGGAAACTTTTTGGTACCGACGTTATATGTCTTGTTAGTAAGTTTCATAGCGTGTCTAAAGCAAATAATATGTTTTTCCACTCCCATTATACTAAATCTAACATTCGGTCGATATTTCGACACATGGCGTGATCATTTTAAAAGGGAGAAAATTGACTTATCAATTACCACCCCGCTGTTATCAGAAGGAATCGACACTTAATACCTGCTGTGACGTCACTCGGACACGCTTCCACTTCCGTGGAATAAATCATTCAGGAAATGAGCTTACCGATGAAAAATTGGCCATGTGACTGGGGAAGAGCTAAAGTTCAGACATCTGGCCGCTAAAAGATTTTAAATCGTGTGTATAATTTCTCGGAAAATAGTGCTGAATGTTTGATAATTTGCGTTTTAAATAACATAAAAAGACGAGAAGGCATGGTGCTCTATTTCATATTATTCTAAAGTTGTATGAAACAGTTTTCAGGTTGTGAATGATTATTTGATCATAGAGTTATACACCACTTTTATATAAAAGGGTGAAAGAACATAATACATATAATAGGAAAATAGAGCACATACCTTAATTACAAGAACTTAAAAAAATACTAGTCTATATTCACTTGATTTCTTGATTATTTTGTAAGCTAAAATACAGTTTCTTGCAGTTCTACATAAAGATCTGTAGAACAGTTTGACGTTTACCAATATTTTCACTAAGTCAGCAGCAGGGGCCAGCGCCTCTCGGATCTTTAGTCTGGACTTTCATCAACTAATAAAATTAGCGCCAAGACTTGTACCTTAAAGCTAATTTGGAATTTAAAGGGTACAACAGCATATGGATTTGGGAGAAAAAGCAAAGGATTTGGTACATAATTTTTCCAGGATGTAGGGTTTAGTGTTTACCGGAAACTGAAAGTTATGGAACCAGTTTATCAATGAAAGTAGATCGCTTACTAGACAGATGGAAAACAATCATGTGCGAGCTAGTTAACTGAAATAATTTAAAAAGTTTGGAAACTTGAACTTGGCGTTATAAAATAAGTGTACCTATATAAAACACAGACAATATTGTTACAAAAATATTTCATTATAAGTATGGACACCTTTTTCTATAAAAATAGCTGTATATTCGTAAAGAAAAGACGAAAATATTAAAAACTTTGGACTTCCAGATCACTGTGCGTTATTTCCCCGATCTTCTCTGTATTAACATTACTGGACTTGGATTGTGGCAATTAAGGGTTGTTTGTTGGGATCGCTAATAGGACCCAGTAATTTCTTGACACAGCGTATACGGAACAAGGAGCAGGCAAATCAGCCTTGTTAATTCCGGGGGAAAGTCCGGCAAATTAGGAGAATATCAACGGCTTAACTAAAGACTCTCGATGCCAGCATCACGCCATCCCTGGGGATAAGGGGGATATTATAGGGAACTAGTAATCCCTTTCAGTGAACAGCCGTACGTCACAGAGTCGACTGCTAATTGCTGCGTGTAGGATATGATTACTGCCAGAGACCAACACCAGGAATCGTTAAATGCACCCCACAAATGGCCCACGCTTGGGATTAATTAGGTGGATTTATGTAACAATAATCACTCATTTACAGAATGGGGAAAGAAGTTAATATTACACTGAGTTAAATTACAAATACGTTCATTACTTGAGTAAGATTATACCACAACGTATTAGTAACAAATGAATTACTAGAAATTTTTGTTCAAAAAGCTGTTTCAAGGTCTCTTTAACATCCAAATATAAATCAGAGACACACAGTTTCTCTTTACATCTCGTTAAAATTCCTAATTATAAACGCATATTTCAAATGATAAATCTAGATCAATTTTTCAGGCTGAAAATCAGCGCATATGTTACAAATCTTTGACAAATAGCTCGACAGATTTCGCGCCACCGTCTTTGATATGTCGCCAAAATAGTTTTCTTTGCTTTAACAACATGTTTCAATTAGTCACGCACCAGATTATGAGCTCAAAAGAGATTTGAAGTATGGCATCGTACAACATCAAAACAATCTAAATTTGTCTCTTTAAACACTTGTGTTTTACGATCAGCTGTTGATCCGCAAAAGCTCATAAAAAGAAGCGTTGTGGGGTTTATATTTCACTTTTTATTGTAATTAAAATTTCAGTTTGTTTTTGTTGTCGGATGTGAAAAACGACTGTACCCAACGGTTGACAAATTAGTTGCGTGATGATGTGTTTTTTATTTTCTTCAATAACACGTTTTTGTTTTGTGAGCAGCGCTTTAATCCAAGAAACATATTTTAATTGTCGGATGCATATGGAACGCGAAGAGTTATAGCAGGGATTTCATTACACAAGACAAATCGCCGAAGCGGAGCGCAGTATTTTTAGACTCTAATTTTATCATTGGTGCGATGAATTTTGTGTGGTATTTCAGCTACGAATTGTTTCGGAGCTAATTTGAATTTGTTTTCTTTCTACTTGGAATTTCTTGATAAATAACGAATTTTCCGGTATAAATTATCCTGATAGCGGCTGACAAATTTCTGGGAATGTTCATCTTTTGGTGGCCAAAAACATTACATTCGTTAAGCAGCCGTGCATAATAAATCATTTGAATTTTTGGCTCCCACTCCATATTTAACAAAGACAAGTACGGCTTGGAAATTTGAATTTATCAACAGAGCTAACTAAACAGAAAAAACATTTTTGCTTGCAACATTTTTTTATTAAAAATACTTTTAGCGTAAACTACTATTATTATTGAGAATTGTTGAGAACCCTTCTAAACTATGTAATATAATCTGTTTAACTGCGTAAGTGTTTAATAATAGTCAAAAATTTGCTTATACATTTTTTTCAAAGAATTCTATCAAATGCAGCCATCGATTCTAAAGTAAAATTACTGTTTGTCTTTTAATTACTTTATTTATGTCTAATTTACCTTTAAAACAATTTAACAAAATTATTTTAGGGTATTCAATACATTTTCAGAATGTAATATCTCTTTTATAAACAGACTTATTATGAACACATTTTAAATATAACCTGTCTACAACTCTCTCTATATAACACAAAGCGGTTTTTTTAAATACAATTTATCACAATTTTTTTTTAATTTTGGTGAAACTTTTCATCAAACATTTATGGAAATTTCGGAACATGGTTTTCACCACTGTTTTCAACTTACTAAACTCGATTAATAGAAAACGTTTTTTTTTTTTCGGGAATGAGATGCTGTAAAAGCAGACACACAGACGACACTATTAGGGGTTATGAAACATCGAGAAAATGTCGCAGTCGCAGTCGCCCCACGGACTCAATTACAATACTTCCTTAGGTCACGCTCGGGAAGGGAAAAGGAATGTTTTTAAGTTTTGCAGAAAATAGCTGCACTAGCTTTATTTATATTTCAAAATGTACATAGGATGAAAAATCTATGACGTCTGAATAAATTTGTTACGAATTTCGTTATTTGAAACAAAACGTCCTTAGAAATGGAAAATTTCAAAAACATTATTTAGTCGCCATTGTAGGTCCTGCTTTACAAAGATCGCATTTATTTTAACTTTTCCTGAAAATATAAGGAAATTTACTTTTGAAATTCGTACTGATGTTATCACTATTCTTCAAAAATTTACTAAACTTGTTTTTAATTATTTGTGACTATATTAAAAGTCAAGGTTTTGTACACAATGTTGTATAAAATCTAGTATATTTTAAAGTTTTGGTGCAATTTTATAAAACAAAATTAAGTGGTCTATTACTTATACATTGTGCCACTCCTATTGCTATTACTAATTGTTTTTAATCCAAAAATTAAAAAGAAAAATAAACCTCGTTCATAGTGTACACACAATAAATATCTTGATTTGTTGTGTGATATATTTTTGCGAATTTGAAGTGTGCCGATTATACGAAAAATTAAGCAATGTATTTCAAATTTAGATTTACGAGATTCTGCAACTCTATTTTTAATAGAATAAATTCAGTTCATAAATTACATTTTAGAGTCTTTGATGCGTGAAACACTTAAGAGACGATTTACAGCGATGTTGTCTAATATTTATACTAAAAATTATTATCACGACAAACCATAAAACCTGGAACTATTTGCAGCTATAATAAAGCATTCATCACGAAACCTAATAGTTAAAAACAGTAAATAAAATATCCAAAATACATCGCTGTTTAATGATACACAAATTCTGAGTTTAATTACTGTCGTTAAAAGGTTTTCAACTTCAACATAGTTATTATAACTATTACCCTTGCTGTTACAGTGTGTTATGATTCATTATATTATTTACAACTTGTTTTCTCCG